GGCTAAAATTGCACTTCTCTGCGGTATGAAGAAGTGGATGACTTTTTTTTTCAGGGATCTCTTATTAGATGCTAATAACTGCATGTTGTTTATTTCCTTTCTACCTCTACTATCTTATTTGGTTTGCTAGTAAGTCTTTTTCTATTCCCTTTGCTGTTAAATTGGACTGACAAAAATGGCAGACTTACTAGCTTAGTAGTGAATAGTTTTGGTCTGGGTTTCTCATGCTTTTTGGTATGCTACTTGTATTGTATATAGTGGTTCTTCCACATTAATAAAGTTAGTGACTACTTCGTAAAAAAACAGTGAAATCTTGCGGATATTATTTGACTTCCCATCTGTAATTGTATTTTGTGAAAAGTAGTTTTCAGATGAAGCATAATGCTAGTAACCATTTTTTTATCCTTTATGTACCTTCCACATGATATGAAATTTTGTTGACTGATTTTCCTGCGGCAGAGCGTTGAGGAAGCTGAGTGTCAAAGAGCATATGACTTGGCTGCTGAAATGTATATGACTTCTTTTGATCGTTCTAAGCCACCGGAGGAAGTAAGTACTGCTGTGTTTCACAAGTAATGTAATTTAAAAATATCACTGATATTTTTGTAATTGCAGGCTGCACTAAGAGAAGCACATGAAGATGCTATCCAGAAGTCCATGTCTGCATTTAATTCTACGGCTGTAGGGGCTGGATCCATCAGAACCAAATATGAGAAACGTCTCCAACATTTCATAAAGAAAGCATTTGAGGTTTTGATTATTATTTCTGCCCCCTTTTTTTTGTTTGTTTTGATGACTGTAGTGTCCCAGCCACCTTTCTTGTTCCTCGACTAAATTCCCCCTAATATTTAGGAAAAGAGGTGCACAAGAGAGGTGTATAGTTGGAGAAGGCTTTAATTCACCCTTAAAATGATTGGACATGTCACATTTTAGTTGTGTCTTTACCGTTGCTTGCATATTAACTTTACTTTGATATATCTCTAAAAATATGCTGATTTGCACTGATTCTAATGTAGGACATTAGAAAGGATGCTTTTAGGGAGTCTTCTCTACAATGTTCTAATGCGATACAGGACATGGAAACTAGACTGAGAAAAGCTTGTCATGCTCCTGATGCAAAAGTAGATACTGTGCTCAAAGTAAGTCTTTATAGTAGACTTTAAAACCTATTTGGGTAGACAAACTAAAATTGTTTGTATAATGAGTTGTTTACGTTGTAAATCCATGTTGTATGTAGGTTCTTGATGATTCTGTATCCAAATATGAAGCTAAGTGTCAAGGTCCTGAAAAATGGAGAAAGCTACTAGTCTTCTTACAACAAAGGTTTGTTATTCCATAGTTCTTACTGGAGCACTTCGGTTTAGGAATGTATATGTTATTCATTTTTGAATTTGCAGCTTGGAGGGGCCACTTGTTGATCTCATCAACAAACAAATGGACCAAATTGGGTCAGAGAAAACTGCACTTGCATTGAAGTGTCGTTCCATTGAGGATAAGATGAGCTTCCTTAACAAACAACTGGAAGCTAGTGAGAAGTTTAAATCTGAATACTTGAAGCGCTATGAAGATGCCACCAGTGACAAGAAGAAGCTTGCAGAAGATTATGCAAGCCGTATTGCAAATTTGCAGAGTAAATATAGTCTATTAGAAGAAAGATATGCCAGCTTATCAAAAACATTAGATTCTACTAGAATCGAGTCCATGGAATGGAAAAGGAAATATGAGCAGTTACTTTCGAAACAGAAGGCTGAAGAGGAACAGTCAAATGCAGAGATAAGTATTCTTAGGTCGAGAACTAGTGCTGCAGAAGCAAGGGTTAATGCTGCCAAAGAGCAAGCTGAATCTGCTCAAGAGGAGGCAGAGGAGTGGAAACGCAAGTACGGCATTGCTGCCAAGGAAGCAAAGAATGCTCTTGAGAAGGCAGCAGCTGTCCAAGAGCGCACTAGCAAGCAAGCACAATTGAGAGAGGATGCCTTACGGGATGAATTTTCGAGTACTTTGGCTAATAAGGTGAATTTCTACTTGATAGACTGATGCTAGTTATTGGCTTCATTTTCTTTTGCTTCTCATCCCTCTACCTTAAAACCTCAGTAAATTTCAAAATGGTGCCCAACTCCGTGTAGTTATGGTTTCTCTTTTATTTTGCTTGATGGACTGTGTCAGCCGACTTGACTGATGTTCCAAAATGATAATTGAGATTCTTGCCTTTTCTTTTCAGTATAGTAATTGAGATTTTCTGTTTTTGTGAAACTGCAGGAAGAGGAGATTAAGGAGAAGGCAGTTAAACTTGAGCAGGCTGAGCAGCGTTTTTCAACTTTAAATTTGGAGTTGAAGGTGCGCGTCTTCTATACAAAACTAGTTTACATGTATCTTCACCTGATTTGTGCATGATTTCTTTTTTTAAAACAGGACGGAGAAAAATGTATGGGAGAAAGATTGGGGGTTGGGAGAGACATATGTTTAACTTGCTTTAAAGTAACCTGTAAATTACATGCTTGCAGAAGAAGTCATTACCTCCATCATCCACTATCTGTTCCTTAGATTTATGAAAAGTTGTCTCTCAGTTCTGTAGTTATTGGTAGCCATGGCATTTGTGTATTGGTCATGGATAGACAGATTTAGATAGTTTGTCGCTATGCTGGTGCATACCTTGCAAGATGATTGTCATATACCTAACATAGCTCCTTATAATATGAGAAGATTAGTCCATTAGATCTTGTTTTTTGTATCTCACTTCATATAGTTAGCCTAATATATGCACAAGTGTGGTACTAATGACATACTCTACGTACTAAAAAAATGTACTTCTACTATTGGTTGTACTAAGATCTTTACCTTACACAGGTTGCTGAGTCAAAGATACAGAACTATGATCTGGAGGTCTCAGCCTTGAAGCATGAAATTAAGGAATTAGGTGAAAGGTTTGAGCGCATGAATGCTACTGCACTGTCATTTGAAAGAGAAGTTAGGATTCTGGAACAAGAGAAAGTTCATCTGGAGCAGAAGTATCGGTCTGAGTTCAGTAGATTTGAAGAAGTCGAGCATAGATGTAAATCAGCTGAAAGAGAGGCGAAAAGAGCGACTGAGCTGGCTGATAAAGCAAGGGTTGAAGCAGCTGCTGCCCAGAAAGAAAAGAGTGAAATCCATCGAGTAGCTATGGAAAGGTTGGCTCAGATCGAGAGGAATGGGAGAAATATACAAAACTTGGAGAGGCAAAGAGATGACTTGGCCGATGAATTAGAGAGGTGCCGTGCATCTGAGTTTGATGCGCAGTCAAAAGTTACAACTTTGGAGGCCAGAGTCGAAGAAAGGGAAAAGGAAATTGAATCACTTCTGAAATCAAATAATGAACAGAGAGCCAGCACTGTGCAAGTCCTTGAGAGTTTGTTGGAAACTGAGCGTGCTGCACGTTCTGAGGCAAACAACAGGGCAGAAGCACTATCAGTTCAGTTGCAAACTACACAAGGAAAGCTGGATCTTCTTCAGCAACAGCTAACTAAAGTTCGGCTGAATGAAACAGCATTAGATAGCAAACTTAGAACTGCTTCTCATGGAAAACGTGCCAGGATAGAAGAATATGAAGCCGGCGTCGAATCTGCTCTTAATATGGGCACAAATGATAGAGTAACCAGGGGAAATAAGAGGTCAAAGAGTACGACCAGCCCCGTGGCAGTCACCTGTCCAGAAGATGGGGGCTCCGAGTTTAGGGGAGATGATGTTACGAGTAGTCAACAAACATATACCGAGGATTATACTAAATACACGGTGCAGAAACTGAAGCAAGAGCTCACAAAGCATAATTTTGGTGCTGAACTGCTCCAATTGAAAAATCCCAACAAGAAGGAGATTCTAGCTTTATATGAGAAATGTGTTCTCCAGAAATCGTAGCTTCCGCTCTGCTTCCTAGAAAGGTTTGAAGTAACTCCCCAACAAATTTCACCAGGTTACTCTGATATCTTAGGAGATTTTACATGGAAATCTTTAGCACACTACCTTTTGACAGAAGCTGGTATAATTGCTGATGCTGCTGACTTAACCATTGATGTAACTTAAGACTGTTTTCCCATCTGGGGTGTATTCTATTCTGGTTTATAGACATTCTGTTGTTTGTTCGCTGTGCTTAGTGCGAGTTGAAATTGGTGTATGGAGAGACTACTAGTATGCGTAGTCGGGCTGACTCTAGGTTTTAAGTTTGTTTGATTCATTTCTTCTTCCCATGTTTTAGATATTTAATGGTTGGTACTTTGGTAGGATCACGTTATGTAAATCCCAGGACAAGCATGTTGTGTAAGAATACCTGCTGAGGTAGTTTTTTTTTTTGCCACTTTTCAACTTCGTATCCTGTAAGCTGTTGATTTTGTCAACTAAACATTGGAGTTGTTTATAACATATGTATGTTTTTCTTAATATTGTATTTCGTTGTCATAATAAGTGGGGTTTTCACAGCTTTGCTGAGTAAAACTTTTCTACGATTTAATTCTGCTGGAGTTTTTGGTGGTAGCAATGCATTTGGGGACAAAATTAATTTGAATCTAAACGGAAATAGTACGAGAGAGATTCATTCAAAGTATATCTTCACTTGCGTGTATTCATTTGATTCCCGATCCTTGTGGGTAGACTGGATTTGACCAGTATTCTCCACAACGTAACAATATATGTTGCCTACGTTCTCTCACAAATTAGAACTCAAAATTCTTAGTAGGCCAAATTATGAAATTGTAATTTAATATAATAATCTCCCAATCAGTGAATAAATAAAAAGAAAATCAAACAACCAATCTTTCTAGATTATCACACATTTTTCCAAATTGTTTGTTCAATCAAACTGTTAATTAATTAGCCAGTTTTTTTTCCAAATTTCCATACTAACTACAAGTCACGAGAATATATATATGAATACAAAGAAAATTTAAAAATTAAGCTTATGAAGACATAATTGTTCATCATTTACATCTTACATACATTACATATCTCTAAATAATAATTAAAAAAAAAACAAGTAAATAATGAACACGGTATATTAATAACAAAACAAAACAAAGAAAACCCTAATTAAACAAAGAACTGATCGACCTAAGAAAGTAGATTATTAATCTTTAATCAGTTAAAAGTAAACATTTATTTTATTCCTCCATCCTCATTAGCACCTCAAATCTTTTAACTTAAAGACTTTTACACACTACAACAACATTTTTTTTAAAAAAAAAAGAACCCTTAATAATAGTAATAATAATAGCTTTCATTTTCTTCCTACTTTCTCACTTCTCTTTGCTTGCTTCTGAAGGTATAACAAAAGATGAGCCATCACCATGAACAACCAAATTCTGAATTAACTCATGAGGTGAGCTTTGGCTCTCAACATTATATGAAACGAAAGGATTAGGATTATAATAATCGACGAAATTCGTTGTTTTAAGGAGGGGGTTAATAATATTGTTGCTATGATCAATTGTTTTTTTTATGGTTGATGATCCACATTGTCTAGGTTGTGTTTGGTAGAAAACTTTTGAAACAACTAATTCTCCATCTTTTTCTTCTTCATTTTCACCTAAGTGATATTGGTGCATTACCCAATTTGTTTTCTCAGGCTTTCTCTGTCTACCATAATTTGTATAAAGTACCAAAATTTTCTTGTAACCTTTGACAACTCCACTTATGTAAACTGGCCTTGTTTTACCTGTCTTGTGCCATCTTGTTTCACCACCATCAATTTCAGTGTGTACCTTTCGACGTTTTCTTGTCCCCGTCGTGTATGCTTTTGATGGACGATGAAAGAAATGACGCACTTGACCATCCTTGTTGACTCCTGCATGCATGCAGTAGCGTATTCAGAATTTTAAATTTATATTTAATGACCTATATCTATGATCATCCCTAGGATATGAAATGTTTTATTTCATAAGAAAATGACACAACTTTTCAGTAGTTAAAAGGAGCCAATCATAGGCACCACATTAAAATAATTTTTATTTTTTCCTCTTAATCTTTTCAATAATAAGTAAAGTAACACATGAATAATGTGTATATGTGTGTCATATACTCTTGTTACAATAACAAGGAAAGAATTTATGTGATCCACGGCAAATGGTATAGCATATAACTAGCATCAAAATATGATATTCCGTCCATTTAATTTGATATTTTCACAAAATCTATAACAAAAAAATAATCAAGGTGGGAGTAAATTATTTTTGAACGTTATTATTATTATAACCAGAAATCTATAACAATCTTTCTAAGAGGTAATAAGTACTCACTGATTATTTTTGAATGTCATCATTATAGACAAATTAAAATCTAAACTTTTCAAAAGGTAGCAAATACTTAATATAATAGTCAAGGATACAAGTAAACTATTTTATTAACACAACCATTATAACAAAAATCTATAACAAGCTTTTTGAAGAGGTAGAAAGTAGTGTACTGAATGGAATAGTTAAGGTGCATGTAAAAATTGAACTATTTTTGAACACCATCACTATAAACAAATTAAGTAGAAAATAGTCAATTGAATAATCAAGGTAAAAATAGATTTTTTCTTAACACAACCATCATATAAACAAAAATCTATATGAAAAAAAAACATTCTAAAAAGGTGTATATATTTATAGCATGGAGTGTGAGTATACACTATTTTTCAATAAATGCCACCATTATAAACTACAATATTTTAGACACCACCATTAAAAAAAAATATAAATAACAAAACACACACTACTAAAAAATAAGTTAAAAATTGTGTTATATAATATGATTTTTTCACTCATTTTTCAATAAATTAGCTAATAGAAAAAAGGCATGATGAAAAACAGATTTCCTCTTATATACTGAATAATTTTCAATTTTTTGCTCGTAAAAACACTGATATCTTTTTTTTTCCTTCACCAATTCAATTAAAATATCGATAATAGTCATTGAACATTTTGTAGTGGAAAATTTTAATGGAAAAATAGTAATTTTTTTAATAGTGATAGTTAGTATTATGTTGCATAAGGTACACTCCATTGACATTTGTATCTTGAATACTAACATTTTAGCAAATAGGTAACTTAGGTCCCTTAACCAAGTATTTTCCTCTTTTGGATATTTGAAGAAAGAATGAAATTCTCAATCCAGTTGGCAGTTGGCACCTTCAACAGGTAGCCACTAAAGGCTATTTTGTTAGTAACAACTTCTCAAACCAAGTCACTAAAAGGCCATCAATTTATAGAATAAAAAGCCACAAAATGAGGAAAAAGGAAATAGCTCATCAACAGAAATTCATGGCATGAAATTTCCAACAAATGAATAAAACAAATTTAGAATAATACAAATACTATAAGCAATTACTTACTTTTACTACTAAATTGTCTCACTTGGGAAATTTCCTAAACCATAAAATAATACAGTAACAAATTGTGACATATATACAAGAATTATCCCCATAGGTTGAAGATTTTTCACGAAATCAAAAATTCAAGAAAAAAAGAAAAGATTATTAATAGTAGTAAATATTTTTTTTAGAAAATTTGCTCACCAAAATTAGAAAAATTCTAATTTTATAATGCTAATTGCTAAGCGTGACCCACTCTAATAACAAATCCGAATATAAATCCTGGAAGGAATAAAATCCGGACAAGAAAACATCATGAATCTTCTTAGTAATTTCACTACCTCCTCTTTTTTGTTTTTGTGAATGCAGATACATTATCTTTTTATCATAAACTAGTTTACATTGGTGATCCTCAACTCAGATAAAGTGAGCGTTATAGTTTCAACACTGACAAAATTATATAAAGTGAGCGTTATAGTTTCAGCGTTACGACAAAATTATATAAAGTGAGCGTTATAGTTTCAGCGTTACGACAAAATTATATAAAGTGAGCGTTACAGTTTCAGCACTACGACAAAATTATATAAAGTGAGCGTTACAGTTTCAGCACTACGACAAAATTATATAAAATATACAGCTGATTTGGACGTTTTAACCAATACGAATTCCATTTCAATTGTTACATTCTTCATTAATATATTCACATACACAAGAATATATAGCATAGTTGTGGTAGGCTAATAACCCGCGTAAGGTAATTACGTATTATTTCATAATATATTATATTGTATTTAATCATTTTAATAAATGTAATGTTAGAATAGATTGTATCGCTTCTCGTTAATTAATGTTACACATCATCAACAAAGATTAAACCACAAAGAAAATAGTGTATAGGCTAGGTAAATCTACTTTAGGTAAATGAATTAAACAAGATTATTGAAAATTAAAGTAAAATCATAATGGTAAAAATAAAGGTAACGACCCGATCAACCAAATCAGAATGAAACTTTTCGTTATGTGCACCCAACACTACATTTAAACGATACATACGACACAAAGGTAAAATAATCAAAATAAACATATGTATTTAAATTAACAAAATAATACAATATAGGTAACAAACATCCAAACAAGCAGTTAATTGTTTATGATTTATATTGATGTAAATATATATATATTTAAGAATATTAATGAAAAAAAGTTTACCTGGTAGTTTCTGTGGATGAGTGTAGCAGATACCATTTTGTCCATCAATGGTCAAAATAAAATCATCAATAAGGGGATGAATTTTATGATTATCTGAAAGTACTTTTGCTTCTAAATGTTCAAGTATCTCTCCATCTGATGGATCAAACTTCACTCCAGCTGGTAGACCAGGCAAATCATGTAGTATTCCCCTCTATTTTTTCATTATACACACCCAAAATTAATCAATTTATATTATGTCACGCAGTTTAAAAATTTGAATCTCGAAATTCTAATTCAGACCCAAAATTAATCAATTTATATTATGTCAAACAGTTTACAAAATTTGAATCTCGAAATTCTAATTCAGAGACAGAATTAGTACCTGATGTTGAAGCTGTATGTTGTGTCCACATGAAGGACAAGTTATGAATCTAGTTTTTGAAGTGACCATAATAACATTATTTTCCTGATCTGATGATGATATTATTGGGAGAACTGTTGATTGACTGCACCATGCCATATTTTTCTACTAACATGGATCCGTAGTTTTATTTGGTTGATTTCTATTAACAAAAAAAAACAGAAAGAAAACTGTAAACACGATGATCACAATAACAATATATACAGTAAAATTTATATCAGATAAAAGTGTAAAGATCGAGACGATAAATCATTAATTAAGATGAGGAGAATAGTTAAATTTAAAAGCACGTTTTTGAAGTGATGAGAAGGAATTGAGTTCTTACTTTTTTTTTTTTGTAGTTTCAAATTCTCTTCTGTTTTGATGAAAATTGAGAACTGTTTTTTGTGCTGCTGTGTTGAAACAAGTAAAAAGAAGAGAGGGAGAGAGAGAAAAAAAGAGAAGAGGAAGAAAAAGGGTCAGATTTTTGTGTGAAAGGAACAAGCTTGGAATTAATATTGTTTTTAATTTCTAGAGATGAGAAGAAAAAATTGAAAAAAGAAAATTAGTTGCTTGGACGTCAAGTTTAGTTATCTTAATGTGTGTATATAGTATACACATGTACCAGAATAAATATAACTTTCTCTGTTTTAATTTGTTTTAATTTATTTGTCTTTCATATTTGACATGATATAAAGTTGATAAAAAAAATGAATTTCATTTTTCAAATTTTATCATATTAAATAAAAGATAGGTCAAAATTTATCAAAATTTTGATCTTAAAAACGTCAAGTGAAATGTTAAAATTAAAATGGAGAAAAAACTTTGAAGTCAGCTTTTCATACTATTCCATGCAGAGGCAGACACACCTTATAAGGTGGGGGTGGAATTGCACGTGCACTCGTTAACTTTGAAATATTGAGAGAAATTATAATATAATTAGCAGTGCTCTTATGCAGAGCATAAGAGTGCTATTGTGCTACTGGCACAAGCTAAAGGAACCAAAAAGTATTGATAGAGAGCATTTTGTCTCTCAACTCGAATTTAAATTTAGTCAGATTCTAGCTATGCAAATTTATCTTAGAGCTCATATTTAAGCTAAAGTAATATTGATGCACCCGAAGTCTTCAAATTCTGGATTCGTCTCTTATTCCATGATTCTTAATCTATATTTATGATTTACCCATAACTATATAAAAGAAAAATTACTAAAAGAAAGCGCTTTACCTCTCAACAACGCGAATTTAAATTTAGTTAGTTTTTTATTATATTCAGGTACACAATACCGGATGAAAAAAATTGGACCCTTACTTTATTAACATAAAGGGTTTATTTACTTGACCTAATGAAATGAAAGATGAGTATAATAAGTATAGTAAAGAAATTCTTGTGTAGGACATTTCACCTCTTTTAGGTTCATCACTCTAACAAGAAGAAAGAGATAGAGGGGTATAATTAGCTGCAGTGTCAACCTAGAGTATTCTTAAAGCTACTAATAATATATATAAGATAGATTGGTAATTGAAAATTTGGTATATATATACGTACGTACCAACAAATGTGAAAGTAACAAACGATGAATTATAACCTAACTTATATTGTATTTTTACACTCTTTCTTTTCTTTGCGTTACCGAATGATATGAATTATGATGAATAATAAATGTGATTCATCCGCTCTTAACCATAAGTTTTTGTTTTAGTTAGTGTTTTCAATCGTTTGCCCTTTTAGTGAGCTTTACATAAAATGAATTTAAATTAATCGGACTAGTTTAATTAGATTGATATGCATAGTGACTATATTGAACACATTGTTCATGGTCTTTGATTCACTGAGTATACTTGATTCGACCATTTTCTAATAAGGTAGAATCGAAGGTAAGAATTTATTTTAATTTTTGGAGGAAAATTTTGAATGACTTCAAAATCGAACGGATCATTTTGGTGAAAATTAGATTCATAGACCTTTCTTTTGATAGAAAAATTCTTTTAAAACTTTTTTTCACATTATAAGAACTTGCAGCAGCCGACACGTTAAGGGTTTGTTGGATATTAGCATTTTGTAGGTCGTTGTCATTAAATAATTGAAATGGTAGTCATTAAATAATTATGAAACTGAAACTTATCAGAGAAGCCACGCAATATGAAGCTTATTGAGGAAGCTTTGGTTTTTAGGGTTTTACTTTAACGTATGGACATTTTTTTTTTGGCCAGGATATATAATACTGATTTTATATTGTCATAGATTTCAATCAAATTTTTTTGTACTTAATTGCAAAGATCAAGAACTTTACTTGTAATTTAAATGTGATCATCACGTGAATTGTGGTGCATTAATGAGAGTGTTTCATCTTTAACTGGAAATTTTGGATTTGAGTATGAGGAAAATTATGGGAGCTTCACCTTCGGACTCTAGCGCGATCTGAATTTAATCGAAGTTTCAATGTGAGCTCCAGATACCGAATGAAAAATTGAAAAAGTTATATTTTTTATTTGATCAATTATTATAACATTTCTGTGGGTTTATTTGGCTGGCTTACTTGCAACTGGTAATTAACCCCAAGTGATGAATGTAATTTAGTAGCTTCCAAGTAAATAATAATTTGAAACAAATCAATTAACATTCAAGATCTAACTAACGAAATAAATCCTAATGTTAATTCCAATGTTCACTTTTACTTATTATGTTTTATTTTATCATAGTCAATATGATTAATTTAATAATTTAAATTTGAAATTTACATATTTAAAAACTATATAAAAATATTTTAAATTGCACTCCTTCTCGTATTAATATGACGAATAAATATCTTAGAAGATATCAGTCAAAGCTTTTACTTTATAACTCTCGATAAAACAAAACGTAACAAGTAAAAGTGATTGAAAAAAACACTATATACAGTCACTATGTAATTAGATATAAGGTCAAAATACCCTTAACTTTTTCATTAAAAAAAATAGCCCTTGACTAACTTTGCACCTTCGATTGAACTTTTAAGCTTGACCTTTGTTTCTTTATGAGGAATTTTTTGAATAAAAAATGCAATGACATGTTATAACTCTAAATAAAATTCAGTGGGCTTTGAATGAGTATGTACAGTTGGCCCATATGGCTTTGACCCGTTATTCATCAAATGAGAGTAGAAGCTTTGAACTTGGGCGGCAGTTACAGGGTAATCAAAGCCCCTTCCTTGAAGACAATTTTCTCCATAACAAGGTTTTTTTGGTATCAAGAGGTAAGCTAAATCTCAAAACTTATGGTTTCCCAACTAATTTTGCTTGCTATAGTGATGTTTTATTAATATGATCTGCAATTTATATGTTGTGATTTTGTCAATTCAATAATTGTTTTGAGTAAGCAGCAAGGAATAGAACACTTAAATTGTAAAACTACCACTATCTTAGGAGTTTGTATAGTGTGCAGAGGGTAAACAATTGTATGCTTGGACAAACTTTTAGAGGGCGGAGCCTATAGCAATTAGAAGAAAAAAAATCTGGTCGATATTGACGTTTTGATAATAGAATCAAACTTTTAGGGACTATTTTTCGTTGTTAATGGCCGGTTCTTTTGTAGTAACACCTATAAGCTAGCTTATGAGCAGAGAGGATTGTCCAAGACCATAAAATTAGAGAAATAATCCATCTATGTACCAATGTGCCACATGCTTAGGCTGTTAATTGGAGGTGAACAATATACCGTCATGGTCCATCACTATAATAGGGATGGATCTTGCTCGGATACTGTGTTAAGAAAATGTCCTTGGACCTAACTCAACTCCAAAGCTAGCTCACGGCCATATAATGAAATAGATAAACAATCAAACCATAAGACACTGAGAGAACAAATCAGTGAGGAGGGCTTTGTCCGAGTTGGTGCTCTATGTAAGCAACAATATAAATTTTTATAGCTGGTTTCATCCGAGGTTGATCTCCGGTAGTGGGGAGGGGCTTAAGTGCTACACTTGGCTAATGGCAAGGACAATTTTTGTCCAAAAATCAAAATGGACAACAAAATTATGTTATTTCAGTAGTTCAGAGATATTGTTTACCCTTCTCCCTATACTCAGCGTTAAAACTAATCGTCCCTCATTTAGGTCAAGGAGTCGACAACAACAACAAAAAAAAGTAATGAGGTTAAGAGACATTGATATTAGAGATAAGTTTCTATCCATCTTGATAAATGAGAAAGACTTGAACGTACGTGATTTTAAATAGAAATCATGAAATACGAAGTATTGATTACAAAGTGAAATGCAAAAAAGAAAATAACGATAGTAATATTCTGAAATATAACGGAACCACTCTGACATACAATTTATTTCATTTGAGAGAAATAGGATTTGCCTATGAATTTGTGGTGTTTGACACACCAAATTTAAAGTTTGATCCTCTTAGCTTTTCTTTTGTGATATGATCCATTCTTTCTATCATGTTTTCTGTTAGATGATTCTTCCAATCTCCGGGCTTACCCTTCCTGAAATATGCGCTGTTATCTATCTGCAAAGAGGAAATTGGCCAATCCTTCCCATTCTTAATCACCTCCAAATTGCTCAAGTTATCAAAACTACATAATTTGACAATCCTTTCTGGTAACCCTTCTCCCTCTTCGTCCCTTGAAAATGGTTTCCCCATGAACTCAGCCAACTTTCTCACGTAGAACAATGTGTCTTTTGTTAATTCTTCATAATTGAGAAACAATAGTGATTCTGGCTTGACTAAACTTTGTTTCCAGTACCCCAAAACATGATCCCAGTAGGGTCCCCACATTGTTTTCCCTTCACAGAACAACTCGAACCCTTCCTCGAAGGAAATTAACAATTCTGTTGTTTCATCCGAATTTCCTTGATGCAGCCACGTGAATCTTTGCATGAAATGCCAAAGAGAAATGAAAGTGTCCTTGGGTTCCCTGCACAAGTAAATCATCTTTGTACCGTCCAAGGACTGAACAGATTTGGGTAAAGCATCAAATGGTATATGTGTGGCTATAAGAGGAATATTCTGAGCCTTCATACTGGAATGATTTTCCGGAGAATCAAATTCCAAGGAAGGGATGAGAACATGAGGAAGATTAGTGAGCAAAGGGCTGTTTTCCATATTAAAATGATCTCTGGTTACAATCGCGTAACACAGAGCTTTGAGCCATGTGCAACCAGTTTTAGGAGCACTACAAACGTATATATCGTTCCAAGAAGACTTAAAGTTTTCTTGTGTTGAAATGATAGCTTGAAGCATTGCAAACGGATACCAAAAGCCTTGGTACTGATACAAATCCATGAAATCATTTGACCCTTTAACCTTTGGAAGCGTTGATATAAGCTTTTTGAATCTAGAGCTCGGTTCTTCCTCTTCTTCTTCGGCAACATGAGAGAGGTTTATGGTCATGTTATTGATCGGGGAAGAATCCATGAAGGTTTAATTCAACCAAATACTGGATAGCTTAAGTGAGAATGAAGAGAAGACAATAGATGGATCATGGATTGGATTGTGAGAGGTTCTCTGTTTTCTTTACAAAATACTCTTTGACTTTATGCTATCTATTTTACTCGTAATGGCATATTCATATATGATATATTTAATCGTGCGAGTGTTAAGGGTATTAGGGTCGTCTCAACAAGATTGAACATGCCATTACAAGTCCTCCACATGGTCGTAGATATTTCTTTATTCTTTGAGATTTTTCTTGTTTTGCTTATGTTGAGGTTCAACTGAATCCGAATTGCCACAATTTCATAACTAGGATTCGAACTGATCAAAACATTTGATTAAAGATGAAGAAGTAGTTACCACCGTCCTCCATAACCTTTGTTGGTGAGATTCTACTTTAGTTATCACTTGATGAGTGTTTCAATTCCACTATTAATTTTATAGCATCTACTCTGTCACTATTAATTTTATAGCATCTACTCTGTCACTTGACATAGCCAGCACATGTTATTACAATAAGTATTTCCTTCCTTCGTAATTTTTGGGTGATCAGTTTTATGGCTACTGCACATGTTATTTTTTTTTAAAGTTGTATGATATTCCATTGGAGATAGATAAAATATTGTATATTATTCAACTTATGTAAATTGATCATAAGAAACTATTTCTTTATATTTTTCTTCGTTATTCAACACCTTGTTCTGTCGAGAGTGTTCAAAATATGTTGTTTAATCACTTTATATATTATTTTACTTGTATATACGATATTACTTTCTGACGAAATAGGGTAGCTATGCTCGTGTGTTCGATTCTGAGTATGCATCGATTTATGTATTCTCTATTTTTATTCGTGTGAAGGGTCGAATATTTTGTCCATTTAACTTAACACAAGTGATGAAAGTAGCAGTAATGAGGTGAAGAAAGAACAGTTTTGGTGTTGACTTGATATTAAAGAAAGTTAGGGTGTTGAAACAATTAAATGGCCACCAAAAATACTGAGGAAATTATAAAAGCTGAAAATGAAAGGATACTGAGAAATGGGCCACCGGAATCAGTATTAAAGCCCAAGTAAGTACTGACAAATGTACAGAGTGGGGTCAACGGCCCACAAAGAAACTGGATTTGTAATTTGGGCCTTTATGCGTTCTCACACGTGCATGGGCCTATCAAAATCTTTACTATTGGAAAAGCAGAAATTTGAATATTTTTGTATCATAGTATCTCACAAAGTTACGCGTCACGCGCTCTTAAAAGAATATTATGTCCCATTGAGAATAAGGGCAAAAATAAGAAGGAAAAAAAATACTTTCTTACACGATAAAGTGTTTATAGATGAGTTAACTTTATGCTTATAGTAAAATGGAGTGCATTGAATAATAAGGAATTGGGAATTTATTTCTCAACTAAATTTGCTATCGACTTTGCTCAAAATCCTATTTCTTTCTCTTGTTTTTATTTTTCTATTTACTCTTTTTCAATGAGAAAGAGATATTAACGGAAAAAAGTTAAATGCACCGGGTGTTTACATTAAGACAATGTAAAATGTATTACTATGTGATTTAATGAGGTAAAATAAATTATTGATTTAAACACTTGATATGTATGTATTGGCTTGGTATAAACACTCGGTGCAGATAAATTTTATCCGAGATTAACTCACGTACACTCAATTGAATGTAATGAATTGAGAATTGTTCTTCCAACTACCCTACCCTCTTCACCAAAGACAAACTTATTGGATGAAGTCCAACTACTATTTCATAAGTTCATATTATCCATTTTACCTTAATTCTTCTCCATTTATTTTTACTAATTCTCCCTTTAAATATATTTAGGAATTTATAAGATCTTGACGCATTTATAAAATGAAGAGAAGAAAATGTATTTTTTCAGATTTTTTATTTGTAAAAACAAAAATCTTTTACAAAAAAGACATAAAATTATACATGTCCCATGAAAAATAAGATCGATTCAGTATATTTATATCAATTTATTATGAAGGTCCAAAGTTTACCTACCTCAGATATTATTGTTTGCTTCCATTTTAAAAGGTGTGAGGTGTCAAAATGTGACCACCCAGAAGAATTGTTGTATATAGTAATTAGTAATTAGAAATAGGTATGAAAATTAGTAACTAATCCATATTGGAAACAAATTAAGTACAACAAATATGAATATAAGGAATTGTTGTTCCAACTACCATGCCCTTGTCAAAGAACAAAACTATTTGGATTATTGTTAGCCATTGTAAATAATTTCAAGTTCTTAGAGACGGTTTAGGATACTGTGTATGGATCATTGTTACTCAGTGTATTGTATTGTTACTGTACTTACAAAGTTTGTTTTGATTGTTACTTAAAATGTATTGTAGTGTAGTTGTTAAATTTCTTTGTTACGTAACAATAAAAACCTCTATTTTATGGAACAACCGATTTGGTGTGTTCTCATTTTTACTTAATTTCCTTTTTCAATTATATCTTTACATAATATAACAAAATACTATTTTACTCTTTACCTTTTATTATTTAATCCTAGTCAAACCTCCTACCCTAGAATAATTAAAGATATTTTAGTAAATTTATAAATTATAATATAGTACGATACAATCAAACTAAACAATTAAAATTTTATTAAACAACAACAAACAAACAATACAATCTAGTCAAACATTGTATCTAACATACAATACAATACATCATGAAACAATGAGTAACAATGATCCAAACAGATTGTTAGGCAAACATTAGTAACATAGAGATTAATCTTAACATAAATATATGTATTATTTTATGCAAGTACTAGTTATATATATTATCCTTCATTAAAATAATACATAAATTTTACATATAATGTGCAGATTACTTTATCATCAAGATGTCGTATTAATTTTACACATGAATAGCTTATTTTCAATATAAATTTCTTCAAACGTTATTAATATCTGCATTACTAATATCAGTACCAAACCATCTTTTTCCCTCTCTTTTGCCTTTGCTAGTTATTTTTCCAAATATTATAAATCAAGAAAAAAAACTACACATGCAAGAAGCCTCAGATGTGGGCTAAAAAATGGCTAGTCACTGGATTGTCCTCTTCCCTTAGCTATATTTCTGGTGAAATGTTTCAGATGTACTATTCCTATTTTTTGAGGTAGAAATGAAGAACAAACTAAGGGACCCCATTACACTTAATGAGAAACAGGGCCATAAATAACTCACCAAACTATTCTACTACTAATAATTGGTTTCACATTCTCTTACACGCTAATAAATTTCAACATACTATTACAGTAACATATTAAGCCTAGAGGAAGCTGAAATATTCCTTCTTTTTTTTTTGGTAGTTACTACTCCCTCTATTTCAATCTGATTGTCTGGTTTGATTTATTTCAATCTGATTGTCTGGTTTGATTTGATTCAGAGTAACTGATTTTATACGTACCATGTAAAGAGTTGACGAAAACGTATAGACATAAGACATTCTTTTTTAAACGGAGAGTATTAGAAACAGTAGTTCAATTGTACACAACTAACTTAAAAATTTGCTTGATTAGAAAGAATAAAGAAAAATAGAGTACATTGAAGATCTTTTAGTGCCAGATAGTAATACTTACTGCAATAACTTTTGGTAGTTGGATGAGATTTTTACAATGAAAAACAAGATTCTTCCAACTCTACTTGTTTTTTTTTCCTAATATTCTTTTGTTCTCACTTTTTTTCATTTAACTTCAATTCTTTCTTTCAAATCAACCCAAACATCTAGTGGGGAAAGAATTGAGTAGTTAGCAGATGAACAAAGAAGTTAAATGACAAAATTTGTTGAGACATTCTTAAGCTACACTTCCTTGATCAGATGCTTCTTCATAGTAATAAGGTGTCAACTTGCCATCCTTTGAAGCAGCCTTGGGCAGGTTTCCACCACCTACTTCTTGCAACATTTTAACGACTCGTCTCATCGAGGGTCGGTTAATTGGGAGAGGGCTAGTGCAGAGTAGGCCAATGTTTAGGGCCTTGCATATCTCCTCCTTGAAACAAGTATCAAGTTTAGGGTCAATGACATGATCTACACCCTTTTGGTCCAACGTGCTGCACACCCATTTCACCAGATCCTTTTCCCCAAACTCGGGATCTACAGGGCGTTTCCCCGTTACAAGCTCTAGGATGACCACACCGAAGCTGTATATATCACTCTTCTCGTTCACCCGCAGTGTGTATGCATATTCTGGAATGCGAAAAAAGAATTCAGTCAGCTCAGCAGTTGCAAGGAAACAACACAACAAAGAATGACCACATGAAATGGAAATTATGGGTAGTTGGTAACAAAATTTAGCAGCCGCCCACAATATAGCTAGCTGTTAAGATTTCAAACATCACAAGTGGAAAGCTAAGTATATCTCTTTCTACAGTCCTAATACAGTGTTTTGTGTTCAAGAACGATGTAATCAGAACCGTTTAACTTGGTTACGGAAACTCGTGGAGCCTACTAAATTGTTCACAAACTATGATCTAGAGCAATGGTGCACTGTTACTGCATTAGGGGGTACTCCAGATATGAGCTAATTTCTATCAGAAGTTAGTTAGAGTACTTAACAAATGTGGAATATCTAGGAAATATTGTAGTACATAGATCTAGCCTTCTACACAATAGATGCCACATAGCTACAGTAATACTAGATCTCATTTTTGAAAGGCTACAGTAATCCAGAAACTTACAGGCATAACAATTAGCAAGTAAAACTCAATATGAACAAATCCAACACAAAATCATGAAACTGAAGCTGAAAAACTGAAATTGTTTAATCTGTACTAACCTGGAGCAATGTAACCACAAGACCCTGCAATAACAGACATGGACTTGATTGCCTTAGCATTAGCTTCGACCGCCTTTGCAACACCGAAGTCAGCAACACGAGCTCCGAACTCACCATCCAGCAAGATGTTATTTGACTTAACATCTCTGTGAACGATAGGTGGAGCACAGTCATGATGCAAGTAGGAGAGTCCCTCAGCTGCATCCATGGCTATCTTATATCTCATAGGCCAGTCTAGAAGGCCACTTTTGCTGCTGTGTAGCAAATCACCCAAACTTCCATTAGGCATATACTCATAGACCAGAAGTTTGCAATCCCTAGTTGTACAACAACACCATAGCTTAACAATGTTCTTGTGTCGAATCTTCCCCAACGTCTCAACCTCCGCTTCAAATCCATCTTCTTGAATGCTACCTTTCTCGATATCACTACAATCATCTACTATTTTCACACTTCTCAATATCTTCTTCACCGCAACAGTGTCACCCTTGCTCAGAACAACCTTGTAAACCTTCCCAGAAGAGCCACTGCCAATTAAGTTATCCTCATCAAGAGCATCCAAGATTTCATACTCGTTGAAACCCAATTTATGAAACGACATTAAAGTCCATTTAGACTTATCAATAGCCCTTTTAGCTTCCTTAAAATTCTTGTACTTCCAGTAGAACCAAGCAACCCCAATAACAAACACCATTCCAGCAAGGGTGAATAGTAACCTCAATAACCAAACATAACCAGCAGTTTTACCTTCAGCTGTTCCTTCACACAAGCCCTCAATGTCTCCACATAGACCAGCATTACCCAAAAAGCTACTCTTATACATTTCCTTTGCATAAACAGGGGGGATATCACCCGAAAGGTCATTATTCGACAAGTTCAGCTGATTGAGCTTCAAATTCTGCAACTCCAG